CGACAACTTCGTGTGAGGGCTCCGTGTCAAATAGCGCGTGCTTCTTTGTTTATCATGCTCGCCAACATTAGAAGAATAAAATGGGACGCGTGTCTTTTTTTAGTTTGGTGATTTGGCAAACGAATGTCTCTCTGAAATTCGTAAAGTATCTACTAAGAACTTTAATGAAACACTTGATTGCACCTAAAACACATAAAACAAATGACGCTTGGAAAAGGAAGATAACGAAGAAACATCTATTGATTGTGAGTATCAATACAGGATTAAATTACAAATAGAATAGAAATAAAAATAGAAATATTATGAAACGATTTTGGAACATCAGCACGTCGTTATGGTCCATTTAATGACGACTAGCCAGACTCTCTCTCTCTGAGGACCATGCAGTTATGCTCTATCTGAAGATTGTGCATGATGACAGTAGCCCTGCGATGTAGTTTCTGTTGTAAAAAAACTCAGTCGGTAAGGCTGTCATGTCCAAAGCACACTACTACTCCCTACTAGCTCTCCATACTACATCTACTACACGATGATGACGGTTTCAAAATTCAAGTCGCACAAAAATCCATAGAAGCTGTATGCTGGGACTTGTCTGATATGTCTTCATATGAAATAGCACGAATACTCTACATGCTTGAGTTATGCGACGGTTTAATGGAAAGTATGGCTGGAAGCCTTATTTTGGTGAACCCATACTCTGTTGGCTTTAGTTCCAGACTTACATCTTTCTTGATGGGGTACGTGAACGGTTTTTGCCAGAATTCTTCATGTGTCTGTATTCTCACCTATTGCAAAATGCCGCACTTTGTTTACCACGGGTGGGGTACAACTTGTTTCAGGTCTCTTTCTTAATGATCCTGGTACCCCAAGTTGATTCGTGTTTCTTTGTTTTTCCAATGCCATTAAGTACAAGGGATATCCCTGGTTTAAACTGGTCAGCGAGACTATGTCTTATTGTCTGGATTTGGAAACTTGGGTAATAGCAGAGAAGTTGCCTTTTGACAGATGGATAACAATGTTATTCATGAAAAAAAGAGAAATAGTTAGAAAGAAAGTTAGGAATTGACTAAAATAGAATTATTAAATGTTATTCATGTAGAGATGTGGTAGATAATAAGTATATACATAAAGAATAATCTTCAAATCTAAATATTGATAGCTTTAAACTAAAATTTCTCAACAGTCAATTTGATTTAATTATGTATAGAGTGTATTAAATTAAAATGTGTCACCAATAATATTTCCACAAGTTGAACCATTACGGTGTAAGAGTCTTGATGTTTTTTTAGTTGTGTTTGAATTTGTTCTACCACCAGAGGGCTGTAAAGTTATCTGAAAATTTATGAATGTTTGTTTGTTTGTTTGAAGTTAAGCATGAAGCTACACAACGGGCTATCTGTGCTCTGCCAACCACTAGTATCGAAACCCGGTTTCTCGCGTTGTAAGTCCGCAGACATACCGCTGTGTTATTCATGTAGACTAAGATGGTATTCAGTACTATTTATTTAAACATTAATTAATAGAAGAATCTAGACATTAGTACAGATAAATTATATTTTGCATACAAAATTTGCATAATATGAATACGCCAATACAGGAGTTATTATTTTGTGTCAGAATTCGTCCACTATCATGGGGTCAAAGATCAAAAAAGACCTAATTTTCAAAGTATAATCAAGGGATAACGTGAACAACTGTTTGAGTTTCACGTGCGACAGAATTTGTTTTTAATTTTAAACTCGTAAAATAGTATTTAAACCTGCATGATGTATCAAAGTTAATTCAACTAAAAACTTGTTAGTTACACACAGTCATTTTTCATCACTTGTATTAATTATATTTTTAGATATTTTCACTGTCAAGGCAACTACAACGCTGTCTATAACTGCGGCAAAAAACGTCAATCAATACGCACAGCGGAGGTTATCAGCGATTGTCGGGAGTTTTCACAGGGCGGAACTGACAGCGAAGCCGACCAATCAGCCAACAGATACGGGAGAGGAGGCGGAAACTGTGCCAGAAAGTATCTTTGTAACGTCAATTGTAAATACAACCCGAAAGACGGAACTTGTTCGTCATCAAATTGTTGAAAACCAGTCTTCAATTTTATCTTTAAACACACATCCGAGTTTTTTAACTCGAGAAAAGAAAGTAAACAAGAAAGACACATACAATAATGGAACTTCAACTGTTGAAAATAGCATACTAGGTATTTACATTAAATAAAATAAATACGTCACACATGAGTGACTGTTTCATTTATTCATGATATTTTGTTTCAGTTCTGGGCTCCACAAGACATCTACACCTATGGATATATAACTTATTAATGTTCATTAAAAAAACCTTATCTAAAAATGAAAAAAAAAACACTTAAGAATAAAGTACGTTTGTTTCTTTTAAATATCGGTATTACACCAGCTACAGCGGCATGTCCAAGATTACTCTTGGATAGGGTGAGGACCAAATCAAACGGTCAAGCCTGCTTAGCAGGAAAGCCCTAATAGTGCGTTACTAAGTTCTGATTACAATGAAACTATTAAAATATATATAACGAGAAACTGGAAAAAATCATAACTTCGATTTGACCAATATATTCACTCCTAGGATCATATTTGTCACCCAGTGGAATAGCGGTATGTCTGTGGACTTACAAC